CAGAAAAAGTCTGAATTCTGAGACATCCATTATTTAATTATTAAAACTTGACCTCCATAAAACTTTAAGTTTCATCTTACAATCACTTTTAATATTTATGCATTAATAATTTAATAATTTACAAGCAATTAATTTAATATAAAACTAATAAATATTCGGCTGATTTCAGAAATCCACTGATAAATGAAAAGGAAAAGGAAAATATGAAAAACGAAGAGAAATTTTGTTTTGCACGAATTTTAAACGAATAAATCCCTATGAAGCAAATTATCAATGAATTAGTTTCAAGCAATAAATTTTCTCTTCAAAAAAATTTCCTAAATATTTTAAAAGAACTTATTAGAAAAAAGAAAAAAATATTTCACTCTTGAAAATCTAATCAATTCTAAGTATTTTAAGAATTTTTTTTAAATTTTTTTAAATTTTAATTATGGCACATTATTTTTATATTCTATAATTAATATTACTTTTGCAACAAATAATGTTATTAAAATAAAAAATAAAAAGAAAATTCATGCGAACCATTGCGAAAAACAAAAAAAGTGCAATGAGTAAAGAGATTAATTTCAAGACGATTTAAATTCGACGATTTTAACGAAAGTTTTCACCACACGCAACCACACAAATTATTTCATAAATGAGATATATTTTACAAATTAATTGTTTCAAATAATGAATTTCTTGCTATTTCGAAATATCGCCATCAATGAATTTTTAACATTTATATTTGACATAACGAAACATTTTAATCATTGTGATAAGCATTCTGATAAAATGCCAATCATTCTGATGAAAGCCAATTGTTCTGTGAGCTTAAATAAAAATACAAGAACATTGACTCTGATTTCATTGAATTAATAAATTGAATCACAAATTTCGAAATTTTGAAAAAAAATTTATGAAACACGAAGAAAAGAAACGAAAAGAAATTGAAATTGAAACCATTACTGCAAAGAAATTAATAATTAATCTGTTATATAACTAATTAGAAAACTAAAATTTGCCAATTTATATTGAAAATTATTAAATTTAGCAAAGAATGCAAATTAACTTCTTTTTCTTAATTTCTTTTTCTTAGAATATTTTAAATTTTTTCGAAAACAGGTAGAAAAATTAATTTTATAGAATTAACAAATATTTTCTTTTTGCTAAATAATACGATAGGAGTAATTAGTAAAATGAATTATCATAGCTTTAATGCATGCATGGATGGACGCTTATAAATTCTTTCTTTGGAGGAAAATATTCATAATTTTGCAAAAAATAAAAAATTGTGCAACCGCTTGGCGTCATACAATTCCAAAATAAAAACTCACGAACTTTAACTCTCTCGCAATTTCAAAAGAATTTACCTGAATTTGAAGTTTTTATAAGCTTTAATCCAAACCAATTATCTTTTCAATTATTCCTTCATAATTTCCCCTCCCTCTCAAAATAATTAAATCCTTATTTCATCCACAAATCATCCTGCAAACGACTTAGGGAGAAGCGCATTCGATTAAAGTGACGAGTGCAGCTGCTAAATTTTCTCATCCCTCATGCATTTTCATAGTTTATTTTCATTCATCATTATTAAAATTAAACATTCTTCTCCCTCATTTTATTGCAAATTTTATTGCAAATCTGTGGATTTATATATTTTTTCATTTCTTTAAATTGATAAATTTCACATCTTCGAAATGGATTTTAGTGAAAAAAAATCATATTATAAACTGCTTTTTAAAAAAACTACGGCATTTTCTTCTTATTGAAATTTACATTCTAAACAACTGAGGCTATAAATAGCAAATAGATCAACCATTCGACAATCGCTGCACACTCAGTATTTCATAAATAATTCAAGAAATACAACTAATTTAGCCAGATGATTGAAGCAGAGGAATTCTGTTCCCAATTCCCAAGAAGGGTGTTAGGACATACAGCGACAATTATCGAGGGATCAGCCTACTAGAATCAAATGCCAGCGAAAATTTTTGCTTCACTTTTACTCAACAGATTTATGGAAGTACGGGACAGCAGGATGCGCCCTAATCAAGCTGGATTCAGATCGGGGCAGAGTTGTGCTGACCGAATATTCACGTTAAGAAGGGAGCATCGCTTCAGATATTTGCAACTCACTGTTTCATCTTTGCAACTGCCTTTGATAGAGCGGAGCTTCGGAGGAATATGGAACGCGACGGTGTTCCAGAGAAGATCATTCGACTCATAAAGGCATTTTATGAGCGCACAGGTCTGTGTATATGAGGAGCTGACAGACTCCTTCGAAATAAGAACTGGTGTCCGTCAAGATCATGTCCTTTCTCCTGCAGTATTCAACTATGTGATAGACTGGGTAATGGACACCGCTTGTCGGCACTCAAGAGGTGTCCAAATCAGTTCAGGGCATCGTATCACAGATCTTGAATATGCTGATCATGTAGTCCTGTTTGTTAATTGTTATGATAAAATGCAAGTAATGCTAAATAATATGTCAGAAACTGCAGCAAAAATCGGACTCAGGGTCAATGTAAAATAAAACGAAAACCTTTTCTTTTTATGCGCAAGAAGCTGATAAAATGCCTCATAAAAATTAAATAAATTCATAAATTATAAAAAAATTAAATTCATAAATAAATTAAAATTCATTGCTGATTGAGGAAGTGCCCGATTTTAAATACCTTGGGTCCACTCTAATACTAAATGGCCAGCCAAAAGACGATATTACAACTCGGATCACGGTAGCTAGAAATGCGTTCTTCCGGTTAACTTTCATGAAGCCATCGTGAAACTACCACAAAAACGAAAATCCGCATCTATATAGCCGTGATTTGTTCCTGCTATGTGACTCTGAGCCATGGCCAATGAGAGTGAAGGATATTAAGAAGTTATCTACTTTTGACCACTCTTGTCTAAAGTTCATTTTACGGGTCCGTCGAGCCGATAAATTATCACACGATAGCATTCATCTTCGTTCAAACACCATTTGCGTTAATGTTATTACATAGCGCCGCCATCGATGGTTAGGGCACGATCTCCGTCGTCCACTACAGGTGTTGGTGCTTTCGTTATTTGCTAAACCGTGTGATGATTCGCGTCAAAAGTGAGCCAATTAAGACCTGGACTGACACGGTGAGAAAAGATTTTGAACGTATAGATGGACCACCAATGTATGGACTTAGACGATGTAAAAAGGAATGACTTCAGTTACTACCGACGATGGCATCAGACCGCACTTGGAAAGGTCTGAACCTTGTAGCCGCTGCAACCAGCTTAACCAGCAATGGTGAGATCTGTTAGAAGAAGAAAAAGAATTTAGCCAACTGCTAAAATGCTAGTCCAATGATTTACCGAAATAAATTTGCGACAATTTTTTTAAAACTATTTTAATCGTACTTTACAGTAACTATTTCTGATAAAAGAAATGTTTTGAAAATAATATAAAATAATAAATAATACAGTCGCAACCAAATTTATTCCTTAACGACAAAGAAATATTTGCTATTAGTAAAATATAATAAGAAACTAAATCGGCATAATTATTAATGCACTTATACAATACAAAAAAAAAGAAACCAATCATATTGATTTAAAAAACATTTAGAAACAAAAAAAAACTGCATGAAATTGAAAAGTAAAATAAAATTTCATGGATTTTCTTTTTTATGGCTTCGAGCTTCAGCTGCAGCAGCCATCTGATCTTGAAGCTTCTCCATAATCTCCAAACGAGTATGCGAATAACCGCCAATATCATATCTGAAAGAAAAAAAATGAAGACTTAAGGAATCAGATTATTTTAAAAAAACTACAATTAATAAAGTGAATTTCAATTAAAATCACGAAACAATATTTTAAAAGTTTCGGCTCTCGAAGGTTAATCAGTTATCACTTAATCACTTAAAAATAATTACGAAAAATCATAACGTACAATACTGTATGCTTCTTATAATAATTATCACGAATTCGACTCCAGTCCCATGGCGGTTTGTCTTTACCTATAACGATAGTAAAAATGAAATTAAAAATTAAAGAAAGAGAAAACTTTCTGGAAAATTCTGGAAACGATAGATACTTAAAACGATCATCTAACAATAAAGTAATGCAATAAACTAAATAAAAACAAAAAAGTGTAATCAATGATCATGAATTATGTGCAATTTATACAATTTACATCAACTAAATCAGTAAACACAGAATGGATGGCGAAAAATTTAATAAGAAATATGTAACTAAACATGTTTAAAACTACTAGAATAAAATCGCCAAATTAAGTTCACTTTCAAACCATTAAATGAAACTAAACATCAGAAACATCAAAGACCAGTCCTATTATTAATCCATATTCTCCTTGGAGTCCTTAAATTTTGTTTTCTTCAATTTGTTTTCGTAAATTCTCCTTTTAATTCCAGTTTATCAATAAAACCACAAATCATCTTTTGTGTACCCATAAGTAAAAACCAATTTAAAAAATAGATTTCCCCAAGATTAGCTTCACTCAAAATTATAAGATTATCTTTTACAACAATTGATCAGATTATCAAATTATAATCAGATTATCTTTTATATCATTTAAAATCAAATTATTAATGAATCCAAATCCATAATAATTTCCTCCTAATAATCTTCTATTCTATTCTTCAAGAAATTCCTATAGAAAATCCAGCAACTGGCTAATTTCAGCGTTCATTTCTTTACTTTAATGATATCGTCTACATATTTCAATTCTATTTCAATCCTTAATTATGGTATTAAGAATATGGTACTAAGCGAAAAATTCTGGAAATTTTTCATGAAATTTTATACTGTCCATTATTTACGGAGATAATTTTTTATTTAAAATTTATTCTTTTTTAATTCACTGTAATAATTGTAATAATTCATTTTTCCTGTAAAATAATTTAGATAAACAACATTTATTCTTTACAAACTTTTTCAAATTATAATTTATATCTATAATTTATAAGTAAATTTTTTCATATTTCAATCATTAAATCATTTTCCTTAAAAACAAGAAAAGCAAGAAACTAACTTCTATCTATCCAAACTTCGATCTTCGACAAACTGGTATAAGAAATTACCAAAAAACCACAAAACCATACAAAACCAAGAAAAAGCAAAGGATAAATTTCATATGCATGACCGAGACGTCCAAATAATAATCTAAATTATTATTTATTTACTACCAATTTTTGTTTCGAAAAATCAAATTTTATCTTTTACACCATTTAAAATCAAATTGCTATGGATCCAAATCCATAAATTTCCTCCCCTATTCTTCGGGAAATTCCCATAGAAAATGCAGCAATTGGCTAATTTCAGCGTTGATATTTTCATCTTAATGATATCGTCTAAATATTCCAATTTTATTCCCTCGAGGTGACAGTGCTAGGAATATGTAAGTGAAAAATTCTAGAAACTTTTCATAAAATTTTATGCTGCCCATTGTTTACGGAATTTAAATACAAAGTCTCATATCTACAGACTTCAATTATAACAAAACAATCGATACTTAAGAACTCGATGGCGAGTAATTGAGTAAATCAGACAACCTTGCTGGTGTATCACCAGGCACTTGTGGTTTGTAACGTTTATCACGCGACCAAAACCTCTGATACTGAATGTGACCAGGTTCTTTTGGTTTTGGCAACTGTATCTTTGCTGGTGGTGGTACAGCTGTTGCGCTCGCCGACCGCATTGATAAAATCCTTATCATGACATTTTGCGTTAAGGGTCGAGTACTGATAAAAAGCAAACTGGACATATCGCTGAAAGCAATAATTTTATCAATGATAATCATGGCCACTACATTATTCTTCATTATAATGACGACTGCTATGGTGATATGGTGGCATCGGATATGCCACCAGCCTCACTTTTAGTGAAACCTTTGTTCTTGATATGGGGTCAAATAAAGAACCCTGACCTCAAGTGAAGCAACACACCAACCAACCGACCCAGTCCAAGTTAAAAATAGGTGGCCACAATAACAGAGAGAGGTGAACCCGAACCAGAGCCAGCATTTTTCACCGTTTTTTTCAGAATTAGAGAAGACACACGCGCCGCGTCAATAGACGCATCAACCGCTATCGATCGATTTTTCACGTTCTTTCCTTCCTACAACAAATATCTTAAATTATCACATGGGAACAGGAAAACAATCGGGTGTCAGGTTGGGCAAGTACCAAGCGCACCTAGGTGATCTCGTTTAAAATAACCCTTTTGCTAAACTCAGTCGATTTAAGTCGATTCGATGGACAAACCACGTGATTCCGTGTTTTTCAACCAAGCAACTGAACTGAATATTAAAACACTTGTTTCTTAATGATTTCTTTCAACAAATCTTTTAATGTTTTATTCAATCATAAGCAAAATAAATGTTGAAAAAAAGTGAATAATTGTGATAAGAATGATTATCGAAGGTTAAAGATAAACTGCAAAACAACTATCGTGTTTCTTTGGTATGGACACACGAAATGCGGAGCCGTGAACTACGGAGTGCAGTGGTCCAACGAAATGCATGTCCAACGGTGACTTTGCGTATGAGACAGTCGGAGAATTGAAAAATATATGAATAAATTCTATTAATAACAGACATTTACGGAAATGTTCCAAAATAAGAATTTCGACATAATTATTTTGGAATTTTAAATATATTTTGTGGTGATTTCTTCTTCACATATTATCCCAATCGTCATAAGCGGACGACGCATTCATTTCTTCTTGACTCGTTCCTCCTTTCTTCCTTATCATTACATCCTACAAATTCATTTTCGAAATTTTATTTCACCGGTAAAAGAGAAGCAATTGCCATCCATAGCCAATCATTTTACCCATATAATGACGCAAAAACCAAGCGTTTGGGCCGCTATAGAGCAATAATGCAGTTTTGTGAGCTAAAAGCAGACTGTTTTGTAACGGTTGCAATTGCTTTCTAAGGTGAGTGAGGCGATATTTCAATATGGAAGAAAATTAGGGGGAAAAGGACAAACAGCAGGAAAACCAATGACAGGCACCTAAATACCGAAATAAGCACTAAAAGTAATCACCACCACCTCATAGTTCAAAAAAACAGATGCAAGAATTCGAATCAAGCAGCTAAAAAGAATGACCCGAAGGTTGGCTGAATTTTAGCGTAATATTATCTGACTTTTAGAAATCCGAAATATCTCATAAATCGGATTGTTTAAAATTTTAATTTTTTTATAATTTAGAATATTTTATTAGACCTGTTCGCGTTCAAACTGCCATGCTTCAATATCTCGGAGAGCGATTTGTACATAGGAAGTGACATAATGCTGCTCTTCAGTTCGCTGATATTTTTGCAGCACATCGATTGCCATATTTTTTAATTCCATTAAATTTAATGCTTCGCATTCACCAACAAGTCTTGAAAATTTCCATTATTTTCGTTGAAAAAATTCTTTTTTTATATAAATAAATCGATATACTTAATAAACAAGAAAACTATCTCGAAAAATTAAATCGTTTCGATGATTTTAATTAGTAAATTAAATAAATAAATAAATAAGAATATTTTTATTTATATTTATTTATTTTTAAATAAATTTTATAAATTTCATAAATTTCTAAATAAATTTGTTTTTAATATTAAATTAAATTAATTTATTAATAATTTATTAATTATTTTAAATTAATTTTTTGCAAAAATAAATCTAATTTAGTAAATAAACTCAATAATAGTTTAATTAAATAATTAAGTTGATTGCTTGGGAACGTCGGAGAAATTTTCTTATCAAATAGTGGGAAGATTATCGAAATTTTTCGAAATTAATTATGCTTAGATAAGAGAAAAGTTATTTGCGAAATTTCGCTTTCATTTATTTTGTTTCTTTAAAATGAAATGTCTTTTGAAATTATTGACCTTTTTCGCTGCAATAATAAAAATGTTTATTTTTTTTGAATAATAATTGCATTCAATAAAAGAATGCAAAAAGAAAGAAATATTTCGATAGTTTTTTCCCCTAAAATATTTTATAAAAAGTAATTTAAAAATCGATAAAAAATGTGAATAAAGTGAATGCGAACGAACCGAGCTAAATCGTCAGGTTTCGATGGTAATGCAAGTGATGGCACGAATTTTTCCTTTTTTAATCGAAGGTATTCTAAAATATGGCGAAAAGTTTTTGGGTCTCTGTCCATGTAATAGTTTCCTGAAAGAAAAGGACTTTTACCATTCTCAATTTTATTTTATGAATATTTCCATAAGGTCACATTTTATAGCCACTAAAGACGATTATTATAGGCGCTATTAGCGATTGCTACTTAAAACAAAAAACAACTATAAAAAAAGAATAGTATTATAGTTTTGACTAATGCGAAGTAGTAATATTTTAGGTAAAAACTTGAAAATCACCGTATTTTCACAGAAAATTCAAAATATTTCTTAAATTAATGCAAAACCTCCTTTATCGGTCGCAATTGGTTTGAGTGTTCCAGGTTTGAACCATTCAGCAAGTTTACTTCTTGGATCTGCGAGTAAATCGGTTCGTCGAACTGTATAGCGTTTTCCGCCAACGTTTATATTCAAAATATCATCAGCGTGTCGATTACGTGACATAGGTGGATCTTTGCTATAATTTTTTACTATTTTTTTATTATTTAATAATAAATTTGATTTACTCCATTGGAAGAATTCTAATTCGATAAATGTACAAATGAATTGTAATGAAATTAAATTTCGCAAATTATATTCGCGAATTAATTTCAAAAAGAAAAAGAAAATTACTTGCCTTCTTATAATATTTTTAATAGATATAAGTAAAAGCAATCAACCATATTAAAATGATTTGAAGAAAATCTCGAGACACGAAAAGGAGTGGTGTATACCTATTGGAAAATTTAGGATCAATATCGTTGTCCAGTCGAGTTGTCTTGCGTGAAAACGCCGAAAATATTCAGTAATTGTCCGCATGATTATTTATTATTTCATAATAGTGGCTATCTGTCATTACTAATTTTTATATAGTTATTCCTTTTTCTAAAAGCATTATTTTCGTTTACAGTTGCTGTTTGATGATGACTGTTGTAAACAACCCGGTTGGATTCCGTAGCAAATCGGGATTTCACTTTTAATAACAGGTATGTTTCTAGCAAAAGGTTCGAGCTCGTGTTGCTTCTCCCAGAGCTGCAGAATGAATGCGAATGTTTCTCATTCTATTTACTTTATTAATTGAAAAAAAAAATGATTGAATAAGATCGTTAATAGATAAAATGAAATATTTTTAAAATAAATATGTATGGTGTGAATTCCAATTAAAATTTTTCATGAATCAAAATTTTTCGAGAATCTTAAACAATTTATTTGTTCCTATATTAAAGTAATGCAAATCCGAGTAAGGTCGATTATTAATTTTACTTGATATGAGAATTAGTTTACATCGAGTTTTTCGAATTTTGTCGTGACAAAGATGGATTATTCAATCATTTGTTCATTATAATGGAACAGCATTAAATAATTATGATTTACCAATGATAATAAGCAATAATTTTGACAAATTTATCATTTATTCTCATAATTATTAATGGTTGATAATGATGATTTTTGCTAGTAACAAAAGTAATTAAAAATTTTGAATAAATAAATAAGTTAGGTTAGCTTTGCTGGCTATAAGGTTAGAAAATTTTACTATGGAGTCACTCGAGATAGAAGTATAAGTCACTAGCACCATCGAGATTTGTAATGGCAGTTTTTTATCTATCAGAAGTAAGAATCAGATCATTTCCTCTCAACATGACAGTTTTAACAGCTATTTAACAACTCGTCGTTCTAGTCCTTTGGTCGTCAATGTAATGAAGGGTTTTTGCAAGATAGTCACATGGCAGAACGAGTGGTTTACGCCCGGAATTTTAATGACTTTCTTATACTTCTACCTGGCTGTATCGGAATCATAAGTTTGTGGCTATAAGTGCGCGGACTTCGGCGGCTATCCTGCCCTCAAGTGATTGCAATTTTAATTTCATAGGTCAGAGTCAATTGTTTTCATGCAAATGTTCTAAAAATTTCATGGAATTTTTTTATAAGAACATGAATGAATATTAACATGAAAATTTTTTTTTGAAATCTTTAAAAATTATTTAAATAAATAAATATTGGAAATAGAATTTTCCATAAGTAGAAGGAAAAAAGTATACCTCATGATTTATGTAGCAAATGCAGCGAAGCTTAAAGCAGCGACTATATAAGAATTGATAATATAAGGCATATAGGCATGTTGTGTTACATTTCCGTAAATGGAACAATCGGATGTGGTGCATGGTTAACTAAAAAATAACTGTTTCCTTTGTGAATTTGAGGTAAAATTATCGCTGAAGCGGAAAAATTTATTCACAATCATATTTATCATAAGCGATAATTGGCATTTTTCATGATTTTGATCGAATAAGAAAATTTGAAAAGTAAAACTTAATCAGTCAATTATGGAAAATGAAAATTAAGAATTATAAAATCAAAAAATGCGGTATAATTTCGCGCTTTTAGCATTTGTTTTAGCATTTCGAAAGCATTTTAATAATTTTATTCATATTTTTAAATATTTAGATTGGTTTTATATGGCCTTTTTTGCCATTAATGGCAAATATATTTATTATAAAAGGCTTATAACATTTTAAATATTTTTTATTTGAATTCAGAAATTCTGATTGACGTATTTCAGTTCAGTTTGAATAAAAGTAGTATTTCACTGTTGTGATAAATCAGTCTTCGAACCGATCGAATATTGGAAATTCTGAAATAACATAAGAAAATAAAAAAAGCACAATTTTAGCCATTCACCGTTCCTCAAATTAGGGTCCTTTTGAAGGAATAAATTTGATTTGAATTCAAATGAGTGTTTCATTCTTTCTCGAAAGCCTCGGATTTTGAACTGAAAAACAAACACTTGATTATTTAATCAAATATGAACTATTTCCTTTAAATTCTTTAAAATAAACTAGTTTCACAAATTAAACTACGAAAATTTACCAAAAATGGATAAATTGCTAAATCGTTGACAGAATTTTTGCCAGATTTCAGCCATTCATCTTTTTTTGACATAACATTTTTTTGAAATATTCGTAGGTTTAATTTTTTTCATATAATCTAAAATCGATAAACCTATTTGAAAGTTATCCTTTTATTGTTCATTTTCCCTAAGTTTGTATATTTTAAGCTGCAAGAAGTTTTTAGCAAACACAAAATCAATTAAGAATGGAGAACGCTTTGATTTAGAATACACTTGATAACGATGATATGATCACTGAATATTTCAAATGCAAACAATCATAAGAGAAAGTTTATCGCAATTTCTTGGCATATAACTGCTTAAATATTTCAAATTATTATGGTTTACACAATGTGGCTGAAAAATCTTTTGGTTCTATTGGTTCCTTTATAATTTTCAATAAAGTACCATTCAGATGAAGATAATTCCTTTTTATATAAGCATTTTTCTGAAATTCTTTTAAAAACAAGCATTATGTTGCCCATCGAATCAACCTGTAGCCATAACAGCATACTGATGAATGCAGATGAACATATTCACTAGGCTAAATCATTCAAATAGGGTTTATTGGAGGAAGTTGGCGGTTACGTGCGCAATACTGTGGCTTAGTTTTATAATAATAAAGTAAGGAGGTACGTCAACTCTAACTATTCGGCTTCTTTCCTAAAGGAATTTGATTTTACTCGATTTGGCAGAAGATAATGAAAATTTTCGTAAAGTTTCATCTTAGATTTGCGTTTCCACTTCTTTGATCTCTGTTCGCAGCTTCGGGAATTACTTTTATAAGAAGAAATGCTAATAGTTTCGTTTACCAGTTTGTTCAGAAACATTTAAAATATTTAAAAATCTTATTTAAAAGGTATTTTATTGTAAGTAAGTATTCAAGCAATAAATTTTATTAAAAATTTAAGGAAAGTGGATTGAAATGAAATTACTTAATTAAACAAAAATTACATTAAATTATGTGATACCTAAAGATGTGACGAATCACTGCAATTAGTTCCACAAAGTGGCAGTTTGAACTTTCATTAATGTTCCTGAATTGAGATTTGTTTGGCCAAATGCTTTACATAAGTTGATGGCGATGTTATATGCGCAGTCGATTGTTTATTTTCCAAAATTTTATGTGATGAAATTTTCTTTCTCAGTTTTCGTCCATTTCACTTATTATTTTGATTATTATTAAAACATCAGTTATTGCTATTAAAATGTTAATTATCCACATATAATTTAATTAATTACTAATTTTTTAAAAAAATCTTCAAATTTCGAAGTGTTAAGAATTCGATAGTTCATTCGTTTGACAGATTTCTTCCATGTCTTTTGTAAATAAAATTTTTAAACGATATTTACAAAATATTTTTAAAACGATTTATCTGTTGATAACATATTAATTCATATTTATTTTTGACAATTTATTCATATTTATTTATTTTTTCTTGAGAAAATTCGAATTTTTTCTTTATGGAAATAAATTTTTTTATAATTTATTTTTATTTTAAATGTTTTATTTTACTGCTTGCGAAATTTCATTAATCATAAGGAAAAAACAATTTCTTTAACTTTTAAAAATTTATAATATTTCTTTTCTATCTTTTTGGTCAATAAATAGATAATGATAGATAACAAAATGATAGATAATAGATAACAGAAGATTGTCGACCGATGGTTAGTTTTATTATTCACTGTAAGATCGAATTTTACTTACGTGCGAAATTTGGAATTTGGAGTTTCTTTATTAGCTCGCTTTTCTGAGAAGAATAAAAATATCCTGGAAAAGTGATCTTATATGGAACAAACTGTAAGTTAATGGAACATACTATTTCTAGTCTGAGTGCCTCCACTAGCTGGAATGAGGCCTCTTAAAGGAAGGGTAAGTCAAGTGTGAATTGAAGTGCAAGTCGAAGTCCTCAATACTACCTAGATTTCTCTTTTAATGACGGATTTATTCCTGTCAAGCCAAAAAATGGAACTCCTTAGTCGAACTAGCACGGTTTTCCGCCATCATGCAGCTCTAAACAATGGCTGTTTTACTTCGAGAATATAAGAACATCCCATTTTAAAAAATCTTAAAAAGGTTTTAATATGATAAAGGAAGCATTTAGCTTTTCAATAATGGTACTAAGGTTTAATTAGTTTAATTCATTCTTCTCTACTGGGTTATAAAATTTAGTATTTTTCATTTTATATGGGGACTTTTCAAAAAAATTGGAGTCAATCGACGAAAATAACTTAAAAAACTTCTTGAAATTAATATTTCTAGGATTATTGATTATTGAACTGCATTCCTCCTTTTCGAAATAAATAATTTTTCAAAAAAAATATAAAAATTCTATGAACAAATCTAATTTTTATTTCTCATTAGATTTGTAATTGAACGTAAACCATTTCAAAAATTATCGAACGCATAAGGAAAGATTTTTAGATTTAGAGCTCAAACTTTGAAGTTAAGCCGATGAGATGGAGTTCGAATTCAAGCGATCGACCTTGGGATGGATTGAATTTTTGAAAAATTGCGCAATTGAAGAATATCGCACAAACAATAGAATTTTTTATCAAAAACTCCTCATAAAATAGATTTTTCATGGATTTTTCTTCACCGAAAATGTGCTTTAACACAAATTGAAATCGCATTGAAATCGAATAGAATTTGCTTTTTCGAAAAAAATTATTCTAAGCAATAAAATTTCATTTTTTTTTAAATGTATGTATAAATCCTTAGAACAAATTTAATTCATCGAATAATAGTACAGCGATGAGAAATTAAATAAAACATTCTATTTTTTAAAATTGTGGAGATTTTTTTTAAACGTTTTCTCTTATATTTTATAAATTATTGTTTCATCGCAATAGATTCATAAAACTAGATACAATGGAGATAGAATGGCTCAGTGGGCTGTTGGTCAATTGAGAGCACCGATGCTGAGGTTCGATTCCCGCAGGAGTAAACCCTGTAAAAAAAACCGAGTGATGCTGGCGATTCACCTGCATTTTTATCACCAAGGGACTCTCTGGCATATTTGTCCAATGCGACAAGCCAGTGGTGCGAGTTTAACCAGTAATGGTGAGAAAAAAAAATTCATATAACTAAATAAACTATATAAAAATCATTTCCTTTGTCCTTTCATTATAAAGCATTTAACACAGTTCTATAGAATGGTCTGAAAGCCTAAGCTCAAAGCCGTAGACCTTATAAAACCTTGTGCACACCTTATCGAATTGAGCGTTTAGATTATTCATTTTAAACTCATGTTCGGGACCCTATACCTGCGCATTGAGCAAGTTATTTCTAGGATATCTAGGACATTGAGCAAGAAGGTGAATACTAATATCTTCGAATTTATAAGGCTTGTCGCTGGATTTTACTTTTTTTTAGCTAATTAACTTCAGAAGTTTATTAAATTATTACGGATTAAACAGAAAAATACAGAAAAATTGAAAGTTCAAATCATGAATGTTTCGACAAAAATTACTTAATTTATTTTGTAATGCCTCGGGGGTATAAAGAATTCTGGAATTGATCATTTTTTATTGACGCTAATCAAAAATTTTTTTCATTTATTGCTGCACTTTTAGTGCTTTTTATGGGCGTCGTATGTATTCCAATTGTGGTTTCAATAAATTTTCCTATTCCTTCGTCATCACCACTCAAAAAAACTTTGTTTTTTACAAATAGCTTCTTTGAATTGGCGATCACATTATTTTCGAGATTTTTCGCCAAATCAAATAGTCAAATAGTCTTTTGCTAATTTAGTCAGCTTGAAAGAAACATTCATTTTCGGTCAGTCAAAATTTTTGAACCTACTACTTGGAATAAAGCATGGATGTCTTGCAATCGCGATAAAATTCTTGATGAGTTAGCTTATCTTCCTTTGATCACTCATGTCTAAGATATATTGTACTAGTTCGCTGAGCGGATAAAATCTCAATGATTGCATCTGCTCAAATACCACTTGTATTAACAGTACCATCACAGAACGTCGTCTTCGCTAATTAGGGCATGTTCTCCATCGCCCACTACAGGAGTTGACACATTTCATTACTTGCTAAATCCTATGATGGATGACATCAAAAAAAATGAAGAGGGCCAACCAAGATCTGGACTGGTCTATACATATATATATATACTGCATTCTTTCGGACGTGTAAGAGGAACAGCAATATATTGACTTAGACGATGGAAAAAAGAATGGCTTCTATTGTCAGTGACGGCACTGGACCGAATAGCTTGGAGAAACCTTACCCTTATAGCCAGTCGAGCCAGCATAACCAGTAATGCTATTAGAAGAAAAAAATGATGGTGATCTAACTTAAAAAAATGCTAAATTAGAATTTTTAGCAAATTGGAATTTTCAATATATTTCCAGTATATAATTGCAAAAGATTGAGAATTTCTTTCCAATCATCAACAGCACTTTGTCAAATTATTATTATGAAGCAGAAAATGGAAAATATTGATTGCACAGACAGGAAATAAAAGATAAGGAATTATTCAATCATACCAAACAGAAATTGAATTCTCGTTGCTCATCGTCGCCAATCCTTCCTTCTATCTTCGAATATTTAGCAGCAGCTTTCTACAATAAGTGATAATTTCTAATATAACCTTTTATTTTCAACTTATTAGTTCTGTTTCTTTTAATTCACTTTGATTTGTTTTTGGTTTGATCACTTCTATCGAATATTTAAGTGAAAGTCTTTCGTGCTCTCTTTTGACGATCGAAAAACAAATGGATTTTCAGAAAATTTCGCATTTCACGAGGATTCCACTTTTAACGGCGGTTTTAATTATTTCATGGCTATTAGTCTTATCACCGACATCGCTTTTTATGAAAGATATTCATTATCGCCAGAAGAAATGATTTTAAACATTGTTTGTAGTAAGAGAAAGGAATTTCACAAATTCTAGGATGAGATTTTTTTGATAAATTTTTTTGAAAAAGCGATTAATTGTTTTCGCTAATCAATTCGCTCAATTTTATTGCACAATTATTTAATATAATAAATAAATTGTTGTAAAGCGATCCGTCGCACCACTTTTATATCTTTTTAGGTCCCAAACCTGAATAAATTAAAGCTCGTTTCGATATTAACGAAGTGCTGTAATATTATTAATTATTATTAATTTTTGAAAAACTAGTCTTTAATAATTCTTGTTTTTCTTAAAATTCTTTTTTGCTTCAATACATTCCATGTTTAACATCAATCCCAGCAATTATGATTTCCCGAAAAGACTGGTTTGAGTTATTTTTATAGTGTTTTCGTACTGTACTTTTAAAATGAAATAAGAAATTTCACATAATTGTTACTATTTTTATAGTCGAAACAACCTTATGCATCATCAATAAAATGGGAAATTAATAAAAAAGTGTCAGGTGCATTCTGTAAACTGCGTTAGATCTTCAGTAATTTGATCTTCAGTATTATCACTAGTCATCAGTATTATATTGCTAATAGCTGCGTGGATTCAATTTTTGTCCTTTGAGCAAAACTGTCTAGAATAGAAGTGATGTCTAGATAGCTGCTGGAGATTCACGTAATTTTATCATCAAGTACCTATCTGACTCTGATAATAAATAAATAACCGCCGAACTAGAAACAGCATTTGCTCATAGAAGAAGAAGAAAAAGATAGTGGTTTCTTTTATACTGATGACTAGTGATAAGTACCAATTGTCTTAATTATACCTTTGCCTTTTTAATAATACCTTTTCGTTTTAATTACTCATAAATACATTACTAAGCTGGCAATTAATCCATATCAAATTTTTCATATCTGATTTGATATAAATGAATTGGCATCTCGTATAATTTTCATATTTTTCATTAAAATGGTTTAAGCTATTAAATAAGTTTATATATATGGAAAGTGATATGTAAAAATGACAATGAAATCGCTTGACGTTCTAAATACAAATGTTGATCAAACGGTCATTGATAATGGTGGTATGACACTTGATAAAATGGTCGACGGGACGCACGAACAATTGTTTGAACTTTTTCAGCCAGGTTATTATTGCTTTAAAATTGATAGCAATGGTTATAATTGTATAATGATAATGACAAAGTAATAATAGCTTTTTCAAAAAAACGACATTTTTCAAAAAATTTGTTTTTCCTGAAGAAAAGTATAAAAGAAGAAAAATGAAGTGAGTTAGCAAATATATTAATAAATCATCGCATAAACCTTGAATACTGCAAGTTGAATATTGGATAAATTATCAAATAGACAATTTTTCATCACAATTTTCAGCGGCAAAAATGGTTGCAGATGCAAGTACACAATTACTTCATTCATTTGATGGTTTGTTATTATAACATTATGATAAAATTTATCACAAAATTCTATAGCATTATGTCAAAGTTTCTATCAGTCAAGTCTTTCCTTTGGTCCAAGTCTAAACTTAATTTTGAAAATTGGCCATTGAATATGAATAAGTTAAAAAAATGATAAAAAATAATAAATAAACCTTTCAGATATTGTTTATCATTAAAAGTTAAAATTTTCTGATAATTTTAAGATTTAAACAAATCGAGTGAAGCATATATCAAAGCTCTGCAAAAATTGGCTGAATCTGGTAGAAAATGTAATGTACTTTCAAAACAACGAATATATGAAATAAATGAAATCGTTAATATGATGAAGAAATTACTTGAAATTCAAAACGATAATGTAATTTTTCCATAAATAAATATAAAATTTAAAATATATAAAATATCGAAATGAAGTATATGAAACATTGACTGAACAGACTGAACAAACCTAATTAATTTACTTTAATATATTTATTTAAAACATTTAAAATATTAAAAGAGTCGATGATTCCCTAAATTGCATTTATTTATTATTTATTATATTTATTTTAATTTATTTCAATTTTATCACCATTTTAGCATAATTCTTATTTTCTTTTTCTTTTAAATGGAACTTTTTGGTTTATTGGTACCGTTAATTAATAATTAATAATGAAAAGGTATCTTAAGATGAGATAATATTAATAGAAAAAACATCTGTGAAAAAGGAATTATCAATTAATAATTGGTGATTACAAGATAACAAAGATTAAATGAATAATATTTATTTCATTATGAATTATGTTATGAATTAATTGAATTAAAATGAATTAAAACAATAATTGTCGAATATAAAACAAATACAAATCAATAGAGAAATTTTCCTCATTTAGCAGCATTTTTTATTTGACTAGTTCCAATTCTAATTACTGGTTTCTTCCACCTATAGTCACTCGAAAGTGGAAAGGAATTGGTCCCTCTTGCCATTCAAGGACGATAAATGAGAAATCCACGATTATGAGCCAAGTTATGAAACCCAAGCTTATTAATGGACCATTTTCAGACGCAAAAATTCAGTGACTATGTGACGAAAGTGAACCAATATAGCAAAGAAGAAAAGAATAAACTGAAAGCAATACGTGGCAGTTACAAGGAACGCGAAAAACTAACTAAGAAAAAATTACGAAAACAAAATGAAGTAAAGTTGAATATAATAATTTGAAATCTAATATAAATTGAATTTAACGAATTTAACCCTCCTCAACAACAGCACGCACCACTTCTAATTTTGCATTGCTACGCTTTGCGGTATAAAGACGAGAACCTTTGGCTGGTGAGTCAATTCTGGATACAAGCACAGGTGTTTCGGCGCAACTTTAACGACTCAGCTTTAATGAAATTCCACCTGCGTTCCACCGTTTAGAAATCAAAACCACGCTGCTTATTTTGCTAGCAGTTAAAGAAAGAGAGCGTTAATATTTGATGATATTTTTGATTTTCATATAGAGTAACCTAAAACTGCAAGCATTTTATGATGAAGAACTTCATGAAATTGCTAGCCATCAACATCAACGATATAAGGTACGAATTATTAATTCAATTTTACCTCCATATTCGTCGTTTTTTTTCAACAAAAATTAGTCATTAAACAACAAATATAAATAATTCTTTCGTATAAATGAAATTTATTTAACAATTTTGAGAAAAAAATTTTTTGCTAAATAAAAAGTATTTAAATTGAATGTTAAATTGAATTTTTCAGTTTTTCGTCGACAAAAATAAGGAATGGTTGAATGGATATCTCAGTATGTTAATATGTTTAAGGCAATTACTTGATATATCCGATTATAGAAATGGTATTGAAGTGAGTTACTATTGGCAGTCTGCTGGCAATTTCCTGCTGCAGGCAAAAAGATATTCAATTATTTTAATTGCAGCATGAAACGAAAGAAAAAAGCATAATGATCAATGGGGAGGAAATGGAAAAAATATCACATGAGAATGGTCATCAACAGAACGGAGAATTAATGACAAATGGATCTATAATGAAAAAAGAAACAATTGGATTCAAGTATACAAGACAAACTCCCATAAATTCTGAAAGAGCAATACAAAACTCCGATAAATCTTTGAGAAATATCTGTGAACTGGTGTCACAGAAAGATTCCGAGCCAGATGAACTGGAACCTTTGGATTCTGACTCCAAGGCGAAATTAGCAACATACACCTTTATGAAAACCGTTAGCGATATAAATACTCCAAAATGTATTAATAATGTTAGTGATAAGAAAAAAAAACAAGAAAACAATCAGATAAAAATTAGAAATCAAGCATTTGAGCGAAATTAGCTTTAATATAATTTATAAATAATAAAATTTAGTATAAAAAAATTTTTAAAAAAAAAAAAATATAAAAAAATTTAAAAAATTTAAAAATATAAAAAAATTTTTTACAAAAAATGATTAAGTTTCGAAGTAGTGGGATCGAATGCGAAATGAATTCAGTTGGGACTCAGACAAATGCATATTTTGGAGGAAATGCAATTTATAATGGGGATAAAATCACAAATCTTAATGGAACTTTACCGTCATCCATTCCGTCTGATCGCAACAGTACCACTGCTGCTAATGCAGGTCATTTTCATCCCACCGAATGAATAATTTATTCGCTATTATAATTATAAATTCAGCCCGATAAAGTTTTCGCGAAGTTTTCTTCATTACCAATGTTTATAGTTGCATGCATATTACAAACTATGTAGCTATTAAGAAAGTGGCAGACGGTCTATACGGAGTTTGATAAGCTTAATCGTTGTTGATAAGCTGGTTGATAAGTTTTGTTGATAGTATCGAAAATCTACATGCGTTTGAAGAAGTGGTTTAAATGAAATTTTAATTAAAGCGAAGTGCTATTATAAAAAGTGAAATGCAAATTGCATAAAATCTTTGCATTTATAATTTTATTTAATTAGTAATTAATAGCATATTTATTATTATTTTTAGAAATAATCACCAATGATTTTCAAAATCGAACATTTCAAACGAGGGATTGCGGTAAAACAGTGGAATGTGTTTACGGATTTCAGCAACAATCATCGAATCAATTAAGTTTATTGCCTGGTGATCTTGCAGTGTTAATTAAATGCGGTTCGAAAGGATGGCTTTTCGTAAAAGACTGTAGAACTCAAAGGCAATTTTTTTCACAAATAATATAAATAATATAAAAAGTGAACTAAAAGACGATTTTATAAGTTTACATTTCACAGTTTAACAATTTAGTAATAATTAAGATTTTTACGACCTGAAATGTTTTGAATTTTGCAGAACAGGATGGTTTCCAGCAAAATACGTCAAAATGCATTCAACCTAATATCTCATATTTTTATCATTTATCAGATTTAATGATTAAAGAAGTTTTGATATTTGTAATATTGGTAATGTGATATTAATATGATCCAGCGCGATTATATCTTTCTTTATTCATGAAAATCTCTTTGAATTATTCGACTGAAAACAGTTCGAGAGGATTATAGAATTCACTTTGCAGTACCACTAGCACAACACGTATAACCTGAATCGATGGAAATTTAAACCAATTAAACCATTGCAGCATTCGTCTACAATATTCATTCCTTTATTATAGATCTTTTGAATATTTTCCTCGTAAAACTTTATTTCACATAAATTAATAATAAAAATGCTAATAATTTTGCAAGTGTTCCATAATATAAAGCAAACATGAAGGACAACAATCATCTCTTTCATCTGCTTTCTTAAAAAAACGAATAATTTCTTAATTCAACTAAAATTTTCCTTAAAAAAATAAATTTTTTCCTTAACAATGAAAATAAGCTATGAATACAAAAGGTAAAAATATAATTGTGAATGGTTTTATAAGAATTTTAAATGTTTATCAATGCCACTGATAATGGAGAATCATGTGATGGCGTTTTCGGTAGATTTGCTTTATGACGATTGCGCACGTCATTTATTGCAACACACCAATTTCTCGCTCGCCTTTTCGGATCAACGAAGAAATATGTTTTATGTTTCTGAAATGAAATGGAAAATTTAGTGCAAATTTCTAATTTCAAAAAATATTTACCAGAATATTATGTAAAAATATTTAGACAAATATTTTATCTAGCAAATCTTTGCAATCGATGTCGCACAATTCAGTTATTTTTGTCTTTATTCCATCTTCGAAATCTTCAACGTTATATTCTCAACACTTTTTTAAGAACTGCAGCGAATGCAGTAGTTTTGTGCGATATTTATTTATACAGATTAACGTATCACTCTATTACACTAGTCAGTTATCCGAGATTAATCAGCGTAGTTTAACTGGCTGCAGTACTCGTTTAGAAACTTATGACTGGTCGTTACTAGCTAAAGCCAAGAAGCATCGTGTTCAGTTCTTGTTCGTTAACCGAAGTAAACATTGAAAGTTAAACTAGGGGTGGGAGGGGGGGGGGCAGAGAAGGTGGAAGAACTATTTATGTCACTGTGAAAAAGGTCGCCAATCGACTTCACAGCAAAGATTTCTAACCGTAATAACAGTCAACAAAGCAAACCTAACCAGGTATGCTAACCACTTACTTCACTCATTTATTTTTGCTTATTTTTCATGATTCAGTTCTAAAAATTTACAATAACTTTAGAAGTATAAAAAATTTTCGTCCCGTTAAAAACCTTTAATTATTGCGTTGAATTTGCTTACCATACGTATTAGAAACATCGTATCATCAATTAATTCAGTTCGTAGAGACTGTCGTATATAAATAGCAGCGTATTCAGCGTTAATGTCCGTATTAATCAGCTTAATTATGGGTTCTTCTGTTAATAACATAATAAACTTTCTTCTATAAAATCCCTTCAAATTCATAAGTCATGGTTATAGCAAGAAAATATGACAATTTTATGACAAAACAAATAAATAAGACAAAACAGAGTTATAATAATAGTCCTCCGTATATTGTTTTGATCGATATCAAACATTATAGATCATATTTTTATGAATTGCTGGGAATAAACCTGTCACACAGATTTATTGAGTTTTTTGAGGAGTATTAATGGGTTTTAATAAGAAAAGTTGAATAGAATATGCCATTTAGAATATTGCAAGGCCAAAAATAGCGAGTTAACATAATATAAAGGAGTTTGAGCATTTATCAGCTGGCTTTAAAAAAAAAGAACAGTTTGATAGGATTTTGAAGAATAAGATTTCGAGGATTTGGAGGGCCGGAACAATTTTTAAACAAATTTTTAAAAAATTTTAAGAAATGTCTTAGGGAGTCTTAGAGATAAAGATGGTATAAAGAGATCAAAGAGAAATGTTAATGAGGAAATAAAGCAATAAGTATTTGACGAAGCATTGGGCACTTCCAGATTAGCCGCTAATGGTATAAAATAGATTCTGGGAAAGGTTTTACAGAGACAAAATAGGGTCTAAGCTTTGGATTAGATAAAATGACCGAGTTTAGAGAGTATCACTATTTTATGAGTGAAGAATTTTGATGAAATTTGGTCAATTTTAGGGAAAATAGATTTCTTTTCGAAGTGCACACAATCTTAAAGCCTAAGCCTTAGCAGATTACTAGCTGGTAAATATGTTCTAATAAATAATCTAATATAATATTGTTAAATATAACGATAAACAAAATAGAATTTTAATGAAAATAATCAAACCTGTCTAAGAAACACTTCTCCGAATTTTACGATAACGTGATCTTCAGAGAACAAATGATAGCTGCACACTTTTCTTTGCATACGTATAAGATCCTCTGTTTTCAGGTAAGGCCTAAAAGATAATTCGAGAGTGAGCGGGCAGCCAAGCGCTTAGTTAAAATTTCTCTATGTTAGATGGAATTCGCAATAAAATTCCGGCGATTTCAGTTCCCAATTAACAATAAGAAAAATAATTTTTATATTAAATCTAAAATTGGAATTATTATTAAAAATTCAGCAATTGTTGCTCATTTCTCAACAATAAATAAAAAATTTAGCTAACGACTGCTGAAATTCATTATCATCCACTTTTTCTGGCACCATTTTATAGGAAGAATATTTGCTGAGGCATTGTTGATCATCAGCAGTTCGCGGAAGAAATGGCGTAAGGGGAGGTGGATTTAAATTCTCCAAGTTTCCCCAGTCTATTCCCTCAAAGAAAGGATCAGTTCTGATTGTTTCCATTCCACCCATTTCCGGTGAACCCAAACGATCTTTGCAACATTTCACCTGCAAATAAACAATTAGTCGAAATTAATTTTATTTAAAATTAAAATTAAATTTAAATTAATTGACTTTATTTAAAACTATATCATATTTTTTATTGCTATGTGATAAATTAAATTAATTTAAAATCATTAATTTTTAATCATTAAATAAATTAAAATCATTAATTTAAAGCTTATATTTAAGAAAAAAAATTAAAATTAAAATTTACAAAAAGCTTTTTTAAGAAGAGTTGAGCCATTTGAGGGAAATAAGGAGGGTAATCAACCTTTCCGCTATTTATTTCATTAATTATAGCTTCGGGATATTTCGCACAATATTGAAATGCGCAATTATATGCGATCATTTCATACAAACAGCAACCCAATGACCAATAATCGCTTCTACAAAATTTTAATAACGTTTTGATTGATTCAAACTGCTTAATCAGTAGAATAAAAAATAAAATTTTAAAACCTTGAAAAATTAAAAATGAAATTTTAAAAATCGAAAAATTAAAAATTATAAAATCGAAAAAAAATAATCATTCAAAGAAGAATTTATAACCAAAGACGAATGAAAAATAAAATTCACTAAGACATTAAAATCCTCGGGAATCTTTTTTAAAAAAAAATTTATAAAAACGTTTAATTCAATAAATTTCATAAAAAATCGAATGTAAATAAAGAAAACATATAAATGAAATGCATTTACGCATAACAAATTTCAACATTAACATGTTCTGGCGCCATATAACTTATCGAAATCCATGATTCCAATATCTCCTTTCGTATTCCAAGGATTTCATCCGGAATTTCGACATCTAAAAAAAGGAAAATAAAAATAAATAATAAATAAAAAATGTAATAATTTAGAATTTCATGGAAAAAATTTTAAACATAAAATATTTTCTAGAAAAAAAGAATAAAAAAATTTAATTATTTACTGCTTAGACTATTTTTTCTTTTCTGCTTCTTCAATTTTATAAATAATTTTTATTTATTTAAGAATTAATTTTAGAAAATTTACTTCGAACCATGCGAAGAATTTGTGCTCCATCGAAATCAGATAAAACTAAATGCATTTTATCGCTGAAGAAAAGATTCTCGAGTGTTACATTACAATGAATTATTCCTTTACTATGCATATAACTCAACGCGGTGACTAATTCCGCACCGTAAAATTTTGCCGCCTGAACTTTTCAATTCATTTAAAAAATTTTCGTTTTATTAAATTGATTGATAATAAATGATATATTTATCTGCATAAAAATAACGGAATTTTTAATTATGGCATTTCTCTTTAAAAAAAAACCTCGAAAGTGAAAGTGCCAACGATTTCTTTTCGATCAAAAAAACTTCCATTCGCGTAATACGGCAAAACTAAGTCTGAAAATTTATTAAAGTTCATTTAATGTCGACCGAAGCTTAACAATGAGAATCGAAGTTTGAGCTGCACTTCTCCTCAGTTATTCTCTACTGAGAGTGCCCAATCAGTGGGGATCGAATACGAAATAGTTCGTGACATTTACTCATTTATGGCAATTACTAAACTGTAAACCCGATGGTACTCTAGCTGATACTCAAAATAAAAGTAGCGAAATGTGGTGATGAAAAGATTTGCTATAAAAATTTCGAGGAGTAGCAAATTCTATAACAATGAATAATTCGCTTATCGTGTATAAAATTTAAATAATTTAAATCGAAAAAATTAATAAAAAATAGATTTTTCATAGTTGAGAAGAGTTGATTTTTCATAGTTGATAATAATTTTATTAATTCAATTATAAGCCAATTATTAATAAAAATAATTTCGCAAAATAATAAAGCAGTAATAAGTAATTTCAAAAATTACGATTTTATTATTATTAAACTTACAGTTAAAATCATTGTTAATGAATCTGTTGAAAATTTTCGTTATGAATGGATGATGCTGTAAAATTCGATGCGACCAAATCTCCAAATCATATCTTAGTTGCTATAATCATAAAATTAATAGATGTTCCATCAGCAAATGAAAATTTTCTGGCTCAAACTAATTGCATTGGCTTTAGCGAGAAATTTTTGGCAGGGAATCACTTGGCGATGTTAATTTTTGACGAAAGATTTTCGCCGACGCTCATAGTCCGAGCAATAACCACTCGATTATCGTATCTTTTATTGCAAAAGGCATCTTCCTTACTTATTTAAGTTTCAGGATTCTCTTCAGGTAACAAATTCTATAGTTCTCATAAAAATTCCAGATTTCAATTAAAATACATTCCCATAACTACAATTCTCATATAAATAAATAGTACAAGCAAATAATGGATCGGTGATTCGTATAGCTAATAATAATTCCCCTACTAATTATCAAAAGGCTTTCTCTTTCAATAAAGGCTATTAAGCTAAAATTAATTAAAATGAATCCCAATGTGTATTGTTAGAAGAGAAATGTAAAAATGTATTAACCATGTTGTGTAGACTAATGCCACTTATACAACAAAAAAAAGCAAATACAATAAATAGAAAATTTTGAAATTTCGAAAATTATAAAAATTTCATCCCGCGGGAAAAAGGAAATAACTTACAGCGTTTTTTTCGTACATTTTATAAACTTTCAATTTATATTTTCGATTATTCTTCGTAGATTTTGCAAAAAAAATCTGAAATTAAAGTTACAATAAATAAAAATAAAAAATCGCAAAATGGAACTGAGAAAGAAATCAAAAATAGTTCACCTCTGCGTTTGTTTTATACTGTATACATTTTAAATGATGAAAATCATTAATGTTCAATTTTTGATGAATTAAATCAATTTCATAAGTACCAAAATCTGTCGGATGAGCTTCGTGTCTTGCGCACTTTGCGTTTTCATGAGCTATATTTAGAGCAGTTATCCTGAGTTTTCTTTGCAGCTCATCAAGAAATGCTCGTTCTACTATCATTTTGCTATCAATTACCAGTCTGCCTCGGCCATGAATAGTGATGTCTGAATTTTCTTTAAAATCTGATAACTTTTCTTGACTTTTTAAATCAAAATCATGATCACTCATCTCATCTTCAGCCAAAATCACTGTTTCTTTGGTTTCCTTTTCTTCTTCTGGTTCCTTCATATCCAAAATATAATTGGCAGAAAGTCGATTGCTTCTTCTATTAAATGAAAATTTCCAGCGGAACGCGCTAATTTATGAAACAATTTGACCAATGCGATATTTCTTTACTAATGATATTTTCTGTGAAAAAAATTTCGCAAAATTGCTGTAATGAAATTGGCATAATTTCCAGTGAATGGCGTTACTATTTTCTCGAACTCGTCGAAATATCATAAAACTTTCGCTTAATGGAGTTTATCCATGTTGACCTGTGTAAATAAGTAAATAAATAACTGATTAGCATTCACTATCCTTTGCTTTTTTAATTCCCTATTTGTTTGAAAATTTGTACAGTAAGAATTTTTAGGAGAATCCCTTGGTGATAATAGCTCGGACACCAAAAAACACCACGAATATCTGATGATAAGTCCACTCTTATCAGTTGGTCAGAACTTTATATTCAAAATGACAATTTGTGAACGATAAACGAATAAAAACCATTTAGTTATTCTGCCCACAACGAACGCAAAATTGAAACGTTCCCTAATCTCCAAATGCAAATTATTTTAATCAGACTCTAAGCCGACAGTATTGACAGTATTATATTTCAAATTTCATGCTCATTAAATGATTATGTTCGGTTGCTTAGCCTCGAAACTCAGATCGATACTGTTTTTCTCAATTTTTAGATCATAAAAAAATCTTGCGCTTCCACGTTAATTTATTTGGGCAAATTTATTTAGTAAAATTTATTCAACGGTCCATTATTTTGAATGAAACTGGTGCTGGAAACTGGTACTGGTCGAATGATAACAATTGCAAATGAATAATTTATCGTATATTATTTCCATGATTTACAAAAGTGAAATTATCACACGATTTGATTCGCTCTATTCACAATTCAAAGAAATTAATTCAAGAATAATTTGGAAAAACCACATATCTACAATTGTTAAAGAAAATCTACGATTTTAGATTTTATCGGCGAAACCTTTTAGCAATTATAACGTGATCAAACTCGCCTTGTATGCAAAAGCTTTTGAGAATTAAGTTTGCAATGAAAATTTCCTGGATAGAAAAATATTCGCAAGAAGGACGTAAAATTAACATCTTATTTCTATAAAAAAAGCAAAAAACTAGTAAAAAAATACATAACGAAATAATCAAATACGCCATATACCGCGATTTATTCCCTAATATCTTTTCTTGTCTAGAAATAAAACTCTATTCTCATCAGCTTGTTTCGCCATGTATTTCAAACGGCGTATGCATGTTTGTTCAAAAAAGTGGAAAAAAAATAATAAATATTAAACATATAAACATAAAATTAAAGTTTTTACAATAATGCAAATGTAATTTCACAGTGCCTATGATAACAGAAGATAAAGCCATCTGTAGTCAATTTATAAAAACCTATATCTCTTGCTTTTTGGAGGGTCGCTTGTTTCAGGGAGGATATCCATATAACGATTACGGAGGTCATCGATTGCATCACACCATTCCATCGCTCTTTCCGCCGGATCGAATAAGTAATATGTGCGATATGGCTGAAAATTACGTATTTAAAAATTTATAACAAAGTATAGCAAAATGAACAAAAAAGAACAGCATACTTGACTCTGAATAGAAAAGCAAAACTTAAAAAGCAAAAAATTACATTTCGGCGTCCGCTTATGAACTTAAATACGCTTAAAAATAAATAAATATTCACCATTGACCTGCTAAATGTCGTCAAAAGAGATTTCGAACTGTTAAACTCTTGATTTGTAAACAAATAGAAAATTTAATAAGAACAATAAAGGATAATAAAATCACAAAAATGTTGCGAAACCAATGATTAAATATTGATTATAAAGAGACAAGAATTTTAAAAAAAGAAAAAAAATACCGTATGAACGAAAAAAGCTCTGAAATTTTTCCCTTCAGTTCGCAATTTTTTACACATTGGGATCTCGCCTTTATGTTCTTTTGTTGCCTCATCAACATAATGAATATGAGGTCCCTCTGTCAACAAGAAGATCCGACGACGATAAGATAAACCCTTAAACAATAAAAATATAAAAAATGAAGTAAAAAGTCTTTAAAATGCGTAATAAAAGCAAAGATTGAATAATAAAACTTATATTTTGTAAAATTAAATATTGTTCACAAAAACAAAAAAATAGAATGAGAGATTCCCACTTTTTTCTTAATTAGAAGGCCAGATTTGAGAATGAGACGTTCACCGACAATATGGTGGTAAGGATTATTTTGATTTTGTTCTTCTAATCGCCTTTGCCGCTCAGCTTGTTTCGCTTCAATAGCTGCTCTAGAAAGCAAAACATGAGATTTTAGATTAAAAAATGAAACCTTTGGTGCTAATTTAAAATTGATAAAACTAACTGGGAAAGAAACTCTTTAACGCTAGCACCCATTAAACGACTTTTCGTAGCAGAATCAAAGCCTGGTTCAATATCTTCAGGATTAATGAAATCGCTATGGTAAGCAGGTTCACCAGCGCTAGCGGGAACATAGGCTTTTAATGGAGGCGGCGTCATTGAAGGAAGATTTTCCCATTCGATCATGGAGAAAAAATTATGCGCTTTAACGGTAGCACAGCCACCCATTTCATTTGAACCAAGGCGCTTCTTTGGGTCGTACACCTTAAATTCACATAACTTGGAAATGCCAAATATATATACATATAAAATAGCAACTTTAGCTTAAAGTTTAAAAGCAAACCAGCAGTCTTTGAACTAAATCCTTCGACAATTCCGGAAAGCCGCTCGGAAATGAATAATCCAATTTTTGAATCCTTTGGAAGATGTGGTAATGATTTATGCCACGAAACGGCGGTGTTCCCGATATCATTTGAAAGATGATTGCTCCCAATGCCCAATAATCGCATCTAAAATTAAAATCAGTGAATTTGACGAATTACTTGGGAAATAAGGAAGGACGAGAAGAACGAAAAAAATAGTACACTCTATTAATTTTCCATTAACACCGTTCTATTTTTTAGAAAAATATTGCTGAAAAACATAAAAAAAAATATTCGAAATATTAAAACAATATAGAAAAATAGGAAAAGAAAAAAGATTTTACGCAGGTCCAATTTCCCAATCCTTCAAAGCTTCAGGAGAAAAATATTCAGCAGTACCAACAAAAGAATTGTTACGATCGCTTTTATGGTCAATTGTTGAAGTCTTCTCTCTCACGATGTGTTTCATAGAATCTGGAATTTAAATTAAGGGAAATTAATGCAAATAAAACTTCATAAGTTTCTCAAACTTCTTAATCACACTCGACAATTATGGCATGGCGAGTTACCAGAAAAAAGAAAACGAAAAAAAAAAATTCTTAAATAACCATACCAACTTCTGCACCAATAATTTTGGCAGTGCCAAAATCAGATAGCATAATATGTCTTTTAGCAGTAATTAAAATATTTTCTGGTTTTAGATCACGGTGAATAATCGAACATTCGTGCATGAATTCCAGTGCGCATACAATTTCAGCTGCATAAAACTTCGCTACCTAAAAATAAATTATTAAAAAATTAAAAAATGAATTAAGAATCATGTAAAAATTCAAAAATTTAATATGCGAAGAAAAATCAAAAAATTCTAGCAAAAACATCCTTATAACCTCATCTTCGAATGAACCCAGCTTTCGAATGTGATAATATAAATCATGATCCTCTGCATATGTCATGGCAATATCTGAATTGAAAAATATATCATTAGCAAATTTCTATAGAATTTGTTTGATTGAATTTGAAAAAACAAGGAAATACTTTTTAAAAATTTAATATGTTTAATATTTTAAATATTATTTTCTATTTCTGTAAACCAGTAAAATTTCTGATAAAAATTCAGAAGAACAAAATAAATATCATGTAAATTATTTATAAAAGCTCACAAAACCACATATTATCTGCGAATGCGGAGTATAGTGAAACGATAAAAGGATGGCCTCCACGGAATGTCATAATATGCAGTGCTTTACATTCTGCTAATACTTCTTTCTCGCGCTGAAAAAAATAAAATTGAGAACATATAAAATTTTTTTCACGAATTTCAACATAAAAAAGGGTGAAAAGAGTTCAATGAACGAAAGTTCTTAATTAGAACACAAATAAGAAAGAGGAATCATAAAAGCTAGAAAAATAAAAAAAACCTCAAGAAAATTAATAAAGAAATTTACCTCCTTTACCATGACATCTTTTTTTGGAAATACTTTGACCGCATACCGTTTCTCAGTTGATACATCTTGAGCAAGATAAACCTAAAAGTATCATTTAAAATATAGATATGATAAACTTTATATAATTTGCTATGGATATATAACCTGAAAATAGCATTTCTGTTTCCTCCAAAATCTGCCAAAATATGAGGAAATTCTTCCCAGTCACTGCTGTATATTCATAATCATCATCTTCTAATCATCTATTACGCCATCCTTCCATTGCCTGTTTTTGCTACAACCCTTTTGTGGCCTTTTCAAATCTTTGAAATTGTGCTACAATTCTCAAAATATTTCCCTCATTATACAAAGGCTCATTGCATTCTTTTGTATAATCTACGAATTGCATGTTTTTAAGCCATTTTCTACCGCCTTACACTTTTTAAACCTGTTTTATAATTCCTGTTAAATCTTAAAATGCACTTCATCTATACTAGTAGAAATTAAGGGAAAATAACAATCTTCAGAAATCATCAAGGTATGTAAAAAGTCGAAAATAATTTCAGATCCATTAAAGGACCTTTTAAATAATTTAAAAATAAAGTGTAATGTATGTAATAAAAATTTAACAGACCGTTGAAAATGATCCCTCACCAACAGTCTTCAAGAATTTGAAATCTTTCGCAATCTTTTGTGACGGACTTGACTTCAAAAAATCCCTTAATTCCATCGCAAATGTCCAGTCACTGTCTCTGCCACCTTTTGATATTTTTCGCTGTTCATTCTAAAAATCATTCTAAAAATTAAAAAATTGCTGTTGAAACAACGTTTAATATATGAATTCTATCAGTCGGATAGGAAAAAGTGTAAATGAAAAAAAATTAACTAGATAGATGCACAATAAAAGAGGAAAATAAATAATCTAAAATTATATTTATGTTTAATCGAATGATAGAAAAATAACAAAAAATGATAAGGAAAAAAAAAATTATTACTATTGAAGAAGAATCAGAATCGATCAAAATAGGTGAATCGTTCCTTGCTGCATCACTGCAGCTGGAATTAAATTTTTTGCTACTTCCGACTTTTTCAACATTTGTATGCCTTTCAGACTGTGGGCAGGAGATTTCTGAGATTGCTAAAAAAATTCGTCATAATCCATTTTCCATCCAAACGATATTTTAGAATTCTACTCTACAAAGAAAGGAAGATATTTCCAGTTTTAACAAAATATTAATCACCAACGTGATGCATTCGATTCTGATATCATTCGACTTCCCGAATAAACAATCGCCATATCTGATATCACAAAATAATGATAATAATGCAAAAATCACACGACAGAGCTGAAACTCAAATAAATGAACAATAATCAATGAAAAATGAAAGCAAAAACAGGCAAACAAATTGGATTATTTCTTAAAAGTTAAGCTATTGCAAAAAAGAAAAAAAAACAAGCTCGTCTAAAAATTGAAAACAAAACTCTCATTCAAAAATTAAATATGCTGCAAAATTTATAAGTAACCGTTGATTTGATTTACTATTTGGAAAAAAATCTGGTCATTTGATTTGATTAAAATTTAATATTTACGTTACATTAATTAATTAATTAATTAATTAATAAAACAAAAATTTCGAGAATTTCTTAGAAAACGATTGTTTTCTAGGAAAAATTTTTCAAGATAAAAATCCTCATCAATTATTTTCGGCAATTATTTAAAGAGGGGGAAAAAAATTAATTAAAATTAAGTATAGAAATTCGATACAGAAAAATATAGAAAGTACAGTATAAAAAGTTTAAGTATAAAAGCGCTTATTAAAATGTTTTAATTATAATGGATATCGAATAATGAACGTGGCAAATATTTTGCAACTGCTTAGAGAACTTTAAAGAAATTTTTAATTATATGAAAATTTTTATGCAAATTTTTAATTATTTTTTAAATAATTTATATTTAAATATTTTTAAAATATTAAAGAAAGTTTCAGGAAAAAAAGAATCAAACAAAAGACGAAATATAAATAGAAAATAACTAAAATCAGAAAAAAAACCTAAATTTTCAAAAACGAAAAATTCAATTTTAAAAAAGTCAAAAAAAGAACTGATAAGAGATAAATGATTTTTAAGAGATAAGTTTAAGCTGCTTGATACATTAAAAAGATTGATAGAAAAGTTCGGTTTTCCTTCATTTACCATAAGTTAACACTTATTAATGAGAAGCTAACACAAAGTTCCACGAATTTGGCACATATTTATGGGACATACAAAGCTGCCATTTTATTTACTAATTCCCATAACTCTTAACTTCATAAAATTTAAATTTTCAATATCACTAAATTAAACACTGAACTTTCGATTTTATCTTCGATTTATTTCGCTTTCATAGAGAGATTAATTTAAAAAATAATATTTTAAAATAATTTTATTAATAATAAAAAATAATTAAAAGGTGGAATAAATGAATGGAACTGACTGCTAAATCGTTTATGAAAATTCTCATAATTCGGCGATAAATAACCAAGCCAAAATCGACTTTTGATTATTCAACCCTTTCAATTTCTGTAGATTTCCTCTCTATGAAATTCTTTCTAAAAAAAAACGAAATGGAACTATAAAAAAGGAATCCAAGAAATTAAATTAAGGTTTTTAAAGTTCATTTCCTGTTTACACTTTAAATCACTGACTACGGTAGACTGAAGAAATATCTAAAGCAAAAAAAAAACTATAATCCATAAAATTGCACGTCAATTATAAATGAAAGCATCGATGTAAACAAAACAGCTTTCCCGATTTTTTGAAATTTATTGAAAATGACTTAGCAAATTTAAAAACAAAAAACTGCTGCTTTTTCAGAAAAACTATTAAATTTAAAATTTAAAAACGTTATCTTCGCGATCTGCGAATGATTAGGGATGGCTCAGTGGGTTGTTGTTAAATTCGGAGCGCCGATGCCGAGGTTCGATTCCACGCCCGAGAAAAAAAATTCCAAGTAAGCCTGTCCAAAAATTAGGGTGAAAATGGCAATTTATCTGCAGTTCTATCGCCAAGGGACTCCCTCATATATTTGTCCAATGCGACACGCCAGCGGAGCGAGTTTATGGTAAGTAAAGGTGAGGACTCTCAAAAAAAAAAATCCAAACGATCATTTGCACAAATAATTATAATTATAAAACGTTATTTCACATAATTATAATTCTATAAGACTAGGAGAAAAAAAGGATTTATAATTATAAATTTGATAGAAAGAATTAAGAAATATTAAAAATAAAAATTGCTCATCTGAAGTAATTTCAACATTTACATTATCGAACTTTGGACGTAAATCGAGTAAAAGTAAATTATTGATGTAGCGTGAATGAAACCATAATTTCATTAAGTCTGTTTCTTCTACAAATTATTTAACACTTCCTTTGCCTCTGCTTAAAATCTATAAAGAATGAAAAAATTAAGCAAATTTTAAAAAATTTGATAAAAAATTATTAAAAAAAGCAAAATAACAAATCTATTTCGTTCTCAGAATCAATAATATAAAGATTCAAAACTAAATAGAATTAAACAAAAAATAAAAAATTCACAAAGGAAAAGGTTATTTTATAAAAAAAACTACTACTTTTTCTTGACTTTATAAAGCAAATTGAGGAGAACCAAAAGCGCTAACGACTTTTTCCACTGCATAAAATTGAATGTTAAATTGAAATTTTAAAAAATGACGAAATTTGAAACAATTCTGGTAATAAATTTGACAGTTCGTTTATAACCACTAAATTATTAAAATTAGTAATGCTAATTTTAACTAAATTTCAACTAAAATTTATCGAGATTACGCAGAATTCTAAAAATTAGTTGAATAAAGTGAAAAGAAATTTAGCAGAGAAAAAATATCACCAAACCGCTGATAAAACGTTGAAAAAAAGTGAAAAAAAATACGCCAAGAATAGACGAAACAAAACTATTAAAGATTAATTGTGGGCAGCAAGTTAAACGAGTGGGCACAGTGGCCCCTTCGCGGAGCTAAAATTGTCGGTGAATATTGCTGGAAACCCGTCTATTCATAAGTAATCCTACGGCGGAAATCTGCGTGGCCAGTTAAACTCGATAACATACGCCAAGAAAAAGAATTAAGCGCGAATAAAAAAAAAACATATTGCATATCGCAACTTCTTTCTCATCCTTGGATTCCTCTAATAGTCACCACTTGGTCTAGCTGGTCTCACCAACGGTTACGATAAAACTTAATCGTCATCTCCGAACTAAAGAACGCACGCATCACTCGGATTTCATTTAATGATAGATTCAATCGCACCGCTGCTATTAAATAATAATCACGGGACAAGATCCGCACCAGCGATGC